AGGACCTCGGTGCCTGTGTTGCTGTATACGACGGAACAGATCTGTATAGCACACTTTTTTGTTCATGCCCTGCGAAGGTGGCATAAGAATCTAAACGAGAAACAGGACGTTGAGACAACCGTTGACCACGTTAGTTCCTCCAGAATGACTGTGCTTTCACTTGCCGACGAACCACCGGACCAAAAAGGCGTGGGTAGATGCAAGACAGTCCATGATTAGAATGATCAAGTTCCTTGTTTGATAAGATGGAAAAGTCCATATCCAGAATGTTTATCGGAAATCCCTTCTCTGCCTTTCACAGAGATCGATGCATACATTTACAAACGGAAGAGATCTTATATAACATAATGAACAGCGGACTGGCCTGGGGGTCCACCGAAAGGCAAGCAAGAGGTTTCGAACATGTCATGCGTAAGGCAGAGGGCCATTGCAGAGCAGGAGAGAAGCAAGGAAATTGTGATCAAAACAGACACCACGTCAAATATAGCTCACCTTCACTCCCATCCCCACAGTGCCCTTGATCTTCTGCCAACCCGACCCAGTGATTCTCCGAATTTTCTCGCGGATATTCTGCCTGCTTAGTGCCACGATAATGCCTAGCATGAATAAGAGCGTGCGAGCTATCGACAGAGGATTGCCAGCAACGGTCTTTGAAATGTACTGCAGAATATTGCGCAGCACATTTGCCAAAGCTTGATTTGACCTGGCTGGCTTGTCGGTCTTCTTTACATTTTTCGACGGCGCAGGAGGTGAAAACGCAGTGCGTCCTGAAGCAGTTGACTTGGTAACAGACGTTTTGTCCGTGGGCTTTCCCACTTTGGCTTTCGACGCGCCATTGGGTCGGGCCTTTTCGATACCAGAATCTACCTTGCTATTGTTGCGTCGGTTATTCTTTTGCTCCAAGCGTTCGGCTGCTGCTGCTTCCTCCGCTCGCCGACGCTCTTCCTCACGCATTTGTCTCTCCAATTCAGCGTCTTTCTCACGCTGGAGCGCCGCTGCGCGCAGTTCTCCTTGTTCCTTTTCTTCCTTAATTCCCTCAAGGGTCTGTAGAAAGACATCTTTTCTTTCCTCGTCCAGGACCTCACTCATATTAATGAACTCCCTGGCATAGTCCCATTCMTCATTGCGAGGAAGAACGTGAAGTGTGAAGAGCTCAATGATCTTAACCCGCGCTGCCAAATCTTTCGGAGTGTCAGTGCCGCCGTTCGGTCTGGAATGAGATTGGTGAGATGGAGAACTGCGCAGATGCTCTGCGATGTCCAGGTTGGGTTGGCCGTATGAGGACAGGTAGGTTTCAAGTCGTTGCTGGTTTAGAGCTTGGGAAGCAGAGTGGCTCAACAAGAGGGTGGCTCTGTTAGTCGTAGTAGTCAGTGTCAGTGCAGGGAGATAATTGGTGGAGACAGAAGCTTAACGGACAAATTATAAACAACCTCTGCATCGACAGACCCCTCCAACCCTCTGTAGCCAGTCTGAACTACAGTCTCCCAAATTTGCCCATCGCGCACCTGAGACGAGATGGACTTCCACTTCTTCTGACCGAATTGGTTTTTCCCTTCCTCAGGCCCCAAGTCGACAATGGAACTCAAGAGAGTGATATATAGGTTCCATACTTTGATTCTCCAAGTACTTTGAGCGGACGCGATAGGCGGCGTTGAGTCGTCACCATTAACGTATCGCTCGTCATGAGTTTGCGGAACAGTTATGGCAGGTTCAAGAGCGGCCAAGGCCTCTGGCAACCGTCGTGTCAAAAAGAGTTCCCGAGCATTCTTATATGTCTTTGAACACAGCTTCGAGGGAGAAAGAGACGAGGTGGAGGATGAAAGTTGCGACTGAGAAGTCGTCATGTACGATCCATCTTCGGCCATTGTTCACCGCCAGCGGAGAATGCGATCAGCGAGAAAGAATCAATGTGAAGTCGGAAGGAATTGATAGTAAATTGTGAGAAATTTAACAATGGTGGCAGGAGTGATAAAGTCGGGTAAATATCATAAATTGAAGCTGTCGTAAGGATGCATAAAGCTTGTGAGTGGTAGCTGTTAGTCGCTAGACTCCGATTGAGGCCAAGAGTTGGGGTTAACTGCTTTCCCTCGGCTCGGCCATTGCCTCAGTCTGGGGTCTGGCTGATGTCACGGGATGCGGATCCGTAAAATACGGAGTAGTACTCCGTATCATAATCTTAATCATCAAACTAACCATCAGGAGACTGATTGTTCTCAATCATTGCGACTGTAGAAGAAATATTCAACCGTCACTGCTGGATCGAATATAACTGAGCGAGACTCACTGATGATGAAGTACGTGGAGCTCGCGAGACTTGCTTCAGTACCTGTCGATCGGGGCAAGCGCTACCTTATTCGTCTTCCCACATGCTAGCTTTGACCAACATTCAGATTAAAATCAGTTGGAGATATCATCACTTGCTCTCTTCTTTTAGTTGAACTTGTTTCATTGTTCTGTTTGTTTTCATCTCTCTCAGCTCTCGAGCTCGTATAGGTCAGTCCAGAAGCTCAGTGGACCACCGAGAAGATGGATGTAACAGCTCAATCATTCCCTTATCATCTTCCCCGGATCCTGGACGATCTGGCAACATGCTGCTTTGTATCCATGGACTTCGAATTTTCTGGGATTGCTACTACTTTTTCGAACCCAAACAGGGGATCCCAGACCCTCCAGGCTCGCTACGAAGAAGTGAAAAGCTCAGCCGATAAATATCAGATCTTACAGGTCGGGCTGACAATCTGTCATGAGGATATCGAGAATGGTCAGATCTTCAGTTCTTACCCTTCATTGTGGGCCTTGACTATTGACTTGGACCCTCGACAGCTTCGTATACTTTGAAACCATACAACGTAAACTTGAGTCCGATTATCGACCGGAGGCTAGAGGTGGAGAGACACTGGTCCATGCAAAGCAGCGGTACGTCCAGTTGATTGCCGCCTTAGTTACGGACATAGAAACCTGAACAAAATCTGCACAGCTATTGAGTTCTTAGTCGAGAACAAGTTCAGTATCGACTCCATCTTGAAACAGGGTGTCCAATACTTGTCTCGGGAGGAAGAAGAACAAGCTATTGCCAAAGCCATCGAAAGACGTGATCGCGTTGCAGTACACACTTCGATTGACGTCAAAGAGACTGAACATGAGTCATTAGCTTTCCTAAAAGCCGTTCGCCGTCTCGTAGATGACTGGCTCGCTCTGGGAGCGGTAAGACGAGCCGTCAGTGGGTTCCTTGAGGAAGCTAATCACTGTGCCAGACACGCGAAGAGTACCTGAACATCCCACCGCCAACTCGCCTTGGTGTTTCTCAGTCATCAAGGTCTCTGCCCTCGGTCTTGAACAGATTTCAGAAAAGGCTCGTTCACCAGTTGATCGAGGTGGAATATCCTTCATTGGTGACAATCAGCAAACCTGATTTCATCCAAATCATCGATTACAATGAGGACCGTGAGAGATCCGTCCGCGAGCAAAGAGTGACGAGGGTCCAGGAGCGCACCTGGAAGCAGACAGGTTTTAGATGGGTAGCTGAAGCTCTAGCTGGAGGGGATCTTACCAATCTTGATTCCGGCTACTTCATTGGTATCATGGCGAGTTCCGCCGCTGTAGAACCCAGATACCCTCTCAAGGAGTTCTCAGACACACTCAAGCAGCGATTGAAAGAGCATCGGCCTGTCCTTGTTGGCCATAACCTTTTCACAGATCTTATCTACTTCTGCCGTTGCTTTTTGGGGCCTCTTCCAAGCAAAGTGGAAGAGTTCCAGTCGATGGCGCACGAATTGTTCCCTGTCTTGATGGACACCAAATATATGGCCACACATAACTGCGGGTCCATCAATCCCAGGTCATCGCTCTCAGAGCTCAATGAAAACTTGGCTAAGAAAGCAATTCCGAAAATCAGTGTGCATGACTTTCTTGATCGTCTGCTTGAATTGATKGCTAAGAAAGATAACAGGCATACACCCGCAACATTCCAAGTATACTACTCAGAAGATTGAACATGAAGCAGGCTACGATAGCTTGCTCACTGCCCAAGTTTTTATCAAGCTGTCTGCTCAGCTCCGTGATGGAGGGGTAGATCTACCGCAACCGAAGTCCACCAAAGATGCTCGAGACACCTCAAACTTCCAGCAAATATATCAGGATGTTGCATCTAAGGCCTATGCTGAGGGCAGATTGCAAACAACACCTGGAAGCGCAAAGAAGACTTTTGAGCAGAAGTCAAGACCGAGCAGCATAGAATCTCCCAAAGCGCCAACGACCAGAGTAGGCTGGACGAGATTTGATCTACTAGAAATTGAGGAGGCCATTGATGAAGTCGACAGTAATATACCTATTGATGACCGTAGATTGTCATTGGGCCCTACCGATTCTGTCGAGGTCATGCAGAAAGCTGCCAACGGCGAGCTCATCCCTAGGCTGGGAGCCGATTTCTGGAAAGTATACGGGAACAAATTGCGAGTCTTTGGCACACTGGAAAGAGTTTGCGTGATGGGTGCGTCGTGAATTCCAGGCACTGGTACACGGGCCTAACTACGCATAGCCCAAAGCTCTCTTGATTGTACATAGATATGTCAATCGATTAGAAACCCGAACGACCGCAAGGGCGTCATTCAAAACCGACGCATACTTGATTACAATGACCCAAGATCGGCTGTGTAGCAGAATGTACGCAGCGTCTATCTAACAGTACACCTTGAATTAAAGAAGGTACCGCTAGCGAAAATAGCCGCCTACTCTCTCTGAGCACCGCTAAATGGTCTACTGGTTGTAGAAGAATCATAACACAGTTGACGATAAGGAAAAGGTGCTGTGAGAGAAAAGAAAGAAACAGGAGAGACGGCAGACGAAAAATGGGAAAGAAAAAGGCTTAGGTCACCTGATCTTCTAGCCCGTGCAGGACTAGCGCGGTTCGGCGGCAGGCAGGTGACCGCCAACTTTTCTTTAACAATTATCGGGGACGGACTGTGTTGACGAGGACAGAGTCCAGTTGCTGCTTTGTAAAAATGTCTTCAGGACCCAATGGCGCCAGGCGCATAGCGTCTGTATTGAGTACGCAATAATCAATTTCTCGGTACTTCGTCTAGGACGTTTTCTGACATCTTTTCAGGGCCTTCAATAGTCGACTCCCGAGTCTGCAGAAGCTGTCAAGAGACGCTCGTTCGCCGCAATTACGCCTCCACTGCTGCGACTAGTTCAGCTTCAGAAACCGTTTCAACTCCCGCCTCTACATTTCCCGTCGTCAAACCTACACACATCATTAAGGCCGGCGTGGTCCTATCGCGTCCTCCGCAAATCACCCGCGACCTCACACCGTTCGAAAAGGCGTACTTCTTCTACCAGAAACGGCTGAACGAGCGACTGGCACTCCCATTCACAAAATACTTCTATTTCAAGCGGGGTACTCCGGCTGATGAGGACTGGAAGCGTAAGATTCGGGAGCGTCAAACGCCTGCACGCGATATCGGCAAGTATAACGCGTACTCGAAGGAAGCATGGAACGACGAATTGCTCGTCGGGGCAGTTGAGTCCGAACCTGAGCATCAGATTGAGATGCTTGTGCAGGATGCAGAGGCTACTGTGAATGCCACTTCTCAAGATACTAGCAAGAAGGAGGAAATTCCCAGACCGTTTCCCCGAGTGACGGAGGCGGACGAGAAGAACGACCAGAAGAGCCTGAACCGGGCTCTGCAGAGAACCCTCTATCTTCTTGTCCAGACCAAGGAGGGATTCTGGAAACTCCCCAGTTCGCCGGTCGAGACAGGGGAGACCCTTCGCCTGGTGAGTAGTGCTTGTTGTCGAGCGCATGGCCGTCTGGCATACTAATTGATCGTCTGCACAGGCCGCCGAGCGTACCCTGGAACAATCTGCTGGTGTGAACATGAACACCTGGATGGTGGGCTATCACCCTGTTGGCCACCATGTTTACAACTTCCGACACCCCAAGACCGACCCCGCAACTGGCCAACAATGGTTCGGCGAGAAGACATTCTTCATCAAGGGTCGTATCATGGCTGGACAGGCCGACCTGTCCGAGAACGTGCAGAACCTCCAGGACTTCAAGTGGCTGGCTAGGGAGGAGATTGCCAAATTCGTGCTCCCCCAGTACTACAGCAACATCAAGAACATGCTGGCTGAGCGGTAAATGCCTAGGTTCGAAGTACAGAGAATCTTGTCTGTCGCATTTATGATACTCTTTATCGTTGACTTGAGTGGAGGAAGATTTGTATCGATAGAGCTGTTGCGCGGAGTATTTCCTTTGGGTCGAGTGTTGACCATTTCCACTTATAGGTCACTGGATTGCATATACTGCTGTAGTATGAAATGTATAACTAGCTTTCTGATTTCTCAATTATTGTCCAGCTTCATTATCTGAATTCTTTTGGAGTATCAGTAAAATCGACCCAAACGCCACACCTAGCTTCTATCCCAATGAAACCACAGTAAACAAGCTGAAGAACGGAGACACACAAAAACACCGAAACAAACTGCCTCATTTCAAGTTGAACTTCTGCCCCTGGACCACGGGCTGGTCCTTTGCAGTCTTCCCAGCCAAACTCTTCCCGCACATTGGACAAGCTATCGGTCACATCAGCTACTGCTTCACCGCAGACCAAACCAGGAAACCAAAGATAAAGATCTTACCATTCTTCTGATAGGCACACCGCTGACAATACTTCCGCCCCTGCTCCGTCTTGGTCTTGCACAGCTCACAAGACGACGAGTACGCCGCATATGGATTCTTGGCCTTGGAGCTGAGCAGTTTACTCTATGCATCGTTAGTCTGGATCACTTTGATATCATCAAAAAGGGGACCAAGGACAACAGAGCAGAACAGCAAAGGACATACCTTTCCAATACCGGTATTCCCCAACGTCGGTTTCGATTTCGTAGCAGGGCCAGCTCCAGCTCCGCCACCACCGCCTAGGGTCGTCGCCGGCGAGCCATAGTACATTTCACTCTTGCGTTTGACGCCTGGGGTGGCCAACTCCGTGGACTTGAGTTTCTTTTGGCATTTTGCGCAGACCATGGCTTTTTATTTTGTGTTTTCTGTTTTGCGTGTTTGTGGTTGTTGAGTTCTGATGGTAGTTCGTGCTTGAAGAGTCCGTCTAGGTTGGGTTGCGCTTATTTGGGTTTGATGTCAGGGTGGGGACGGGGTGGGTGGCACTGGCTTAGAATGCACCCTGCGGGGTTGGTCTGTTCGAACTGCTGTAGTGCAGATACATGTTATTGAGAATGCGAAGGTTTTAAGATTACTCTTATGTAAATAGATGATTATATTATATGCATAGCGTATGTTTCCTCAATAATAGAGAAGTTGAGACGGGGTATCCGGACTCATCGCTCAATGAGGATTATTAGAGGGCCGAAAACTCCACCCGAGAAATATCCAACGTAAATGGTATCATCAAAATAGGATAGGAAAGTTGTTCTCGTGAGAAAGATGACTGATCTTGTTGATATCACTCCTTTCACGCGTGAGGATGGTGTTGGTATTGTTGGCTAGATGGGAGCTCATGCGATCCAGCATCGCTCCCACCCTGAAGTTCGGCTGGAGAAAATTGTCCGTTGCTGTTCACGGGGTTCGAGTAACCATTCACGGGGCTTAAGCCACCACTCGTAGGGCTCGAGTAGTCGGAATGTGCTGGATGGCTAGCGGGCTGTGGCGACGGCGGTTGATATGGCTGGTATGAGGACATAGGAGCGTAAGGGGCCGGAGGGGGAGGAGGAAGAGGAGGCTGAGCATGGTGGGCGGGTTGAGCATGCTCTTGAGAATAGATCTTGCTGGCCTTGCACCATTGGATACAGCAGAATATGAGGCCGAAGTATATGCCGATTGTGCAGAAGAAGGAGACGATTGAGGTGGCCAAGTTCAGATACGGCGGCGGCGTCTTCCCTTCGAAATTGTACATGATTGTCACGATCAGGTCCTCAAGGCAAAGCACAAAGAGGAAGAAGCCCGCCAAAGCAAGCGTTACAGATCCGGTCTGACCAAAAGACTATTAGCGAACAGGCACGAGGTTAGATACAAGTTGGCGCATACCTTGCTGCTAAATCTCGACTTCGCGATGATGAAGATTGTCCACACGAGAATCTCCAGCGACATCAGCCATGAGACGATGATGCGAGCCTCAGCAATCCTGTTGTAGTGTCCGATTATTTGCCATTGGGAGCTTCCGTTCACCTCCATGACGAGGAGAGCAATGTACATGGCAGCATTGACCACCATGAGAATCCCCAAGACACCCAGGAGAACCCAGTGCACTATGGACACGGGAAGAAATGTCTTGCCGCCGTTCGCAATTCGGTTGAGATATGCTTGGATGACTTGGTAGAGGACGTAGAACATGAGAAACAGGGCGAGAAGCCAGAATATTGTTTGGAGCATTAACATGACCACATAGCTCTGCTTCACTGTGACCTCGCAAATATAGAAGAACATGTAGGGGATTGTAAGGAGCTCGGCGCTAGAGAAGGAGGTTAGAACTTGGGCTCGTCTTCTTGATTTATCTTCTTTTGCTACAGAGGATCGGTTCTTCTACTCACAGGATATAGCTCAATATCCCGAAGACGAGACCCTTCTTAGGGAGGGTCTTGGGTAGCGCCTTAGGCTCTCTGATGAAGAAACAGCCGAAAAGGAAGAGAAATAGCACCCCCAATGTGAGGAACTCGAAAGCAAGCTGCGCAATGAAGTACGATTTGCGTTGATAGAGGCTGTTCATCGAGAATGTAACGTCTTCGTTCCATGGCGAGTTGTCACTGCTAGAGTAAGAAGAACCTCCGGACGAGTACCCGCCCCTAGACTTTCGTGGTAGCAACATTATGAGTTTCGAGACACGTTCTCCTTTGAGGACGACCGCGCAAGGTCAGGTTGTGGACGATTGCTGGGGGATGCGGCATAGAAACAGCGATGGAGCCTCATTTTGAAGTGTTCAGATAGGAGTTGGGCTCGAAAGTATGCTGGTTTGTGGCTTGCGATTGTTTCTGTTACCGACCAGCAAGATGAACGGTTGGAGGCTCAGCCTTGGGATACGAGGTGCTGGGGGCGCGCGCAACCGTTTATTGGACAGTGGAGAGCATGAGGGAGCAAAATACGAAGATCGCACCTCAACACAATCACGCTTGGGTTCATTCGGGTMTAGTTTAGCGAGTTTATGGACATCTTTGGCCAAATACAACAAGTCATTCCCGAATTAGCCTCGTTCGAATGTTGCTTTTTGGCTTGGCGGATAGTATGGCACTCAGCAGGCTCAAGGAGTCAAGAGTCAGACGAGTCATTGCCAGGCATGCTCGTCATCCAATGAGTCCGATAACTGCTGTTGTTAATATGAGAACCAAATAGGAAAACTGGTTGATGCTATTCGTCCGGTATAAGTTGACTTCAATTATCTCTTGAACCTCTATCGTTCTCCGAGCACCACCATCTCAATCTTCCTCAAAAGGCTTTTACTGGCTAACTTTAAAGTTTTCACCTGGTAATATATCCCACGAATTCAGGATCCACTAGGGATGAACCTCATATTTGGTGTCCCAAGCTGTTATTAATTTAGCCGAGTGCAAGAATTGTCAATTCCTGAGTGGTGTATGTATCGAATAAGGCTGTACTTGAACCCGAGCCGATACTGCTCTATGTCCGTGGACAATCTATTGCTACATTCTAAAAAGCTCCTGCTGAAGTAGTCCAAGAGATCCACATGTAGTCTAGTCCCTTTGTTAACAGTGTTAGGGGACCGGTTACTGCTGCAGCGATAGGTATATATCCGCCAGGGATGTCGAACCGCTGGTTGGCCATGAAATGTCGTGCCTGCCTCGCAACAAGTCATGTATTTCAAGGATTGACCCCCTGTCTCTTTGAATCTGACTGCACGTGCTCTAGAGAACATCAAAGCTTGAATACGCGCGCACCTCACGTTCATTAAGCGCTGTTTTCTGAATCGCCTCTGAGGGGCAGAATAGATCAGTGTAGCATGCTTATTGCATGAAGCGACCTGGACCAGTTGCTGTACATTGCAAAAATGATGTAGATAAATAGAAGGCCGTTAGTCGCTATTCCGCTCAAATCGAACCCAGGCAGCAGTTGCGCTCAGAGTGCTCATTTGTCTGCTGGGAGCAACTGAGACAAGCAAGCCTGCGACAGGTTGAGGAGGTCACACAGGTAAATTTTCAAAAGCTGGACACCCATGATAGGAAATCGAGGACTCCGATTGATAGCCCGATCCGCTCCTTGTGGGTAAAATGCTTCATTGTCCGTCCAATTTCGATTGTGATTTGTGATTTGGCGTACCTGTCAACTGTTTGCTTTAATGCCTCGGAAAAACATGCTTATGTTCATCGTGCCAATTGAGGCTTCGTGCATGATCTGACAGGTTTGATCCTTGCACTCGCTCTCTCACAAGCATATCCTTAGAAGTGATGCAAGCGTGCAGAACTAGCCACAAAAAGTGGTCGCTTGGCAATGGCTGTGCTTCAGTGACGGCGATGACAAGATAGAACTTAGAATGGTTGAGTCAAGTGTGGCGTCAGACATCGTGGTAAACAATCAGTCTGACTTCAGCTCTGAGCCAACAGGCACGATATATCGCCAACTCCGAGTGGCAGAGGGTTGAGTTGGCAGTGGCGAAACAAATAAATAGGAACTAAACACCCTCCACACTTCACAAACCCTGCCACTAGATTTTCTTCTCTTCTCTCAGCTGTGCCATAAGGTCCATAAACTAGACCACTCCCTGGCTGTTTTACTTTTTTCAGCTGTTCGGGATCGGACCGTTCACCCCACAACTTATCACTTGCGTAAACCTGCCGCTGTTTGTTATCCCAAGAACTGCAGCTGGACCCGCCAGTTGTGAATTGCGTTGCAGCAACTGGACGGCAGAACTACACATGAATGGCAAATCAGCATCTACAGAAACCGTCGCACTGGAGTTTGTCTCAAAATTTGAGGAGTGAATGGAAGCAAAAAATGCAGGAAGATAGAGACCCGACATGTCGGGACCAACAGAGCAATGGTTTCTTGTACCAGTTAAAGGGGGCGAGAAAGATGGCATCTCCCCCGACACTATAAGTTACCTATTTTCGGCATTTCGTGACTTGATGATGACTCGCTTTGGACCTTGGTTAACATCCATCATCTGCTAATAGAGTGATCGTATTCTCCCGCGCCTCTCACAACATCGCGTTGCGAATCAAGGTTACAGTTGAGAACTTGAGGTTCATCTTTGCGCTGGATTCTGACTCCTTGCCGCGAGTTGTATCGTGCTGTCGAGAGCACTCTCTCAGAATTTTGTATTCGATCGTCCAGCATCTGAGAGGCCTTTTCAATCCGACTTGCTTTTTCTTTGAAGTGTCTCTCTACGTTTTCTTAGCTTGATTGCTTCATTGCCCCCAGACTAGGTAAGTCTGCACTCTTTGTTCACCACTGGTCTTGATCTTCACTTCACATTATGCTATTGGGATCCTTGACCCGCATCATATCGCGGCATGGGGTGACCCCGTAGACTCTGGAGAGAGAAGTATAACTCCCTTGCTTCTTGCTGTGGCTAGAACTCGTTTCCCATCATAACCTGATTATCCTCTCCTTCTCTCTCTTCGCGTTTTCCTGCCCACCACTGTCTTACTTGTATTGAGAACGGCTTCCAGGCTATTGCTGTTCGAAAACTCATATTGCGCAGGAATTGCCGAAGAAAATTCGACGCTTGCATTGACGAAGACAGGCTCGACTGCGAGTAAAAGGCTCATAAGGCAAATCTTCCCGAATTTGGAAAAATTTGGCCTAGCCAGGCGACTCACATAATGCCTCCTAACGGTTCTTCGTTCAGTACGTTGAATTTACCATCAACATTCTCATTACCGGAGTGCATGGAATACTTTACTCTGACTGCCGGTCCTAACACGGATCTCTGGCGCAAGCCGCCCAACGGAGACACTGCTACGGCGCCTATCGTTTTTACCTCTTTACGAAACCCTTTCGTAGTCGCCGAAGTCACAGTGAGTGCGGACTGGGAGATGGAATCCGATCAAGGAGGCATCGTGGTTTTCGCCGGAGCCGCACCTCAATCATTTTCCTCAGAGAACGTGCCAATATCAGCAGTGACACCGTTAAGTCGTCACCAAATATCCCGGTCTCTGCGGCCGTGCAAATGGGTCAAAGCCGGCATGGAATTCTGCTCAGGGACAGTGAACGCATCATCCGTTAGTGCAACGGCTGACGGAGCTGACTGGTGTGTTTCGCCCCTCTGTCTGCCTGACAATGGACCGACGACTGTGCATTCTCTGCGGATCAAGTTCGAGCGCGTTGGTCATTCACTTGTGGTTTGGTATCAAATTCCAACCCTGTCCCCCTTTGCAAGGACACCAGGTGCTGTGGGCAGCACGTGGAAGAAGCTACGAGAAGTGACATGGTTCTTCTACGGGGTAGAAGACAAGTTTGTCCACGTGGGTGTGTATGCTAGCCGGCCGGCCAATATCTCGCGTAATAGCACCATGTGGGCGATGATGAACGGTCCGATGCTGGGCAGCATCGCCACAGCCGGCTCTGAGGAAGGGTTGGTGGTGGAATTTGAGGATTTGGAGATATATTGACGTCAATGCCTGATTTTTTGCTCATGAATATCTTTTCAGATACCTTCGTCCTGCGTTCTGTTGATCTGATTGCAGCCTGCACTTCTTGTGTTGATTGCCGTGTCTTCGGTCAAGATTTTTTGAGCTGTTAAAGGCGCGCATCTGTGTTTGAGATCTCTTGTAATTGATTTCTGTTATTCCAGCGACCTGGGTTGCATGATCGAATGTCTCATCGCTGTCCTAATAAATATTTGTTGGTCCCCTTTCGCGGTTTCTGTTACGACTGCATTGCACTTCTCTTCAGGATTGACATAGTTAATATCTTAACATGGACGACTGATCTTCAGAAGACGCCAACCTTTGTATTATATTCTTCTTTGAGAGCTGCATTCTCTGTTTAGTCCACACACTATTTTCTACCGTACATCGACACGTGCAGGATGAACGCGAAGATCGACAGCGCTAGAGCAACCGGGATTGCTGTGGAGGTCACGGGTCATCTATCAGACAACAGGCACTGCTATCCAGAGAGATATAGAGTCTCTCACTTTGAGTGATCGAGTACGGAGTCAGCCACTCTACACTACACAGGTAGTTGTGAGTAAGAGGGCTACACTGACCACTCTGTCGGTAGGACAAATAACCGAGGAAGCCGTTCCATGGCTCGTGAGGAATCCACCACCAGGACGCATCGACGACCACAAGCAAAAGTAGCAACAAAGATAAAGGAGAAAATAGGTGATGAGACTATAATGTTGGCTCGAGGTTTGGCCCGCAAAGTCACCCCTTTATCTGTATGAGCATATGGATACTACGAAGTATTTTGAGCGCGACAGAGTCTGGAGCAAGACGAGGATTTCTGCTTTAGTGCTGCATTGCATATACCTTACTGATGTTGCTTTCTGCGAACCATGGTTTACTATCGTAGGGTAGTTCAGGGACTGGTCGAATCAGACCTTTCCATGCTTTACTCCAAAGGTCCTTGGATAACTAGATGCTTGCATTCTTGATTAGTACTTATGAAATAATACCATGAAATTATCTCATGACATGACGGCCGACGGCATAGACGGAGAGGATCCTACCAAATGACTAGCAATAAAGATGGGACTGTATGGCGCCACACACCATTGTTTTGCTGATACCGAATCCACTCCTGCCTCTCCTTTCCTTGAATGCAGAAATTTCTCTTCATTGTGCACAAATGCCTTAGTGAAATTCTGCCGCAGGTCTGCTGAGATTGAGAACCAGACAAGAGTACAGCTAAGAAGCAGGAAATGATTCAAAGCAACTTGATCTACTTTTCAGTATCTAGAAAAAAAAAAAAAAAAAAAAAAAAAAAAAAAAAAAAAAAAAAATACTCGGGCTGTGATTGGCAGCACGGAAGCCGCCAACTCACCGCATTTTGTGCTCTGGCGCCAGTCCCGAGCCCTCATGGCTTAGTCTACCTTCTACCTTGAGGATCTGCGCAAAATTATCAGTCACCTACGTAGCTGGGAAAGTTTTGTACGGATGCAGAATGATGCTACCTTAGGTATCATCATCGTTCATGAAGCTGGCGATGACTCTATGTCTGCTGTCGTTCTCTGAAGAAGTCCAAGTCAATCAGTATTCAATCCAAGATGTTCTCATTCCGTGTCTTCCTTATCCCCTATCTACTCTATATAGCTACAGCTCCATGACTGGTATCCAAATCACCTCGGACAAGCCAATAGCTCAGTCTGGCAGCACCCAAATAACGGGCGGGGCCTGATCACTGTGACAACTGCTGGTGCCCCGCTAACTAACTACATAGTAACTAACTAACGGCCAGAGCCATGCCACTTCTGTGGCACTATGCCCGAGGCGTGAGGGCATCTAACCGTCTTTGACACACAGCTTGCACCTTAACGACTCCATCCGTCCTTTGGCTTCCGTGGGCACCACATATTTTTTTTTTCCTTGTGAATCACCTGCATTCCGGCTCCTAGCTCCTCCTCCTCATTCATCTGTCTCCTCGAGTTGATCTCCTCGTCTGACTCCCATCGATTGTTTGTTTTCGCTGTCTTTCTACCACCTTAAGTCTCCCTTATCGGACCAATCTACGCTTGGTCCTACACCCCTCTGACGATACCTCTCACAACCTCCCACCGTCTCATCTTCCTGTCTACTTGTTCATTTTGAGAGGTTTCTGTCCGACCCAACTACCGCGTTCCTGTATACTATTTCATCTCTCGCTGTTTGAGGGGTACTTTGTTCAATCGTTGGAGACTCGATTCGATAAAGACCTTTGTTCTCCAATCCTGTTCGCGTTTGATATCTTTTCCTGTTTTGTTTGTCTGTGATACCTAACGACTGTTACGACCTTTATGACCATAATGGCTCTCACCAATGGAGAGACCGTCACTATTTCCATCCGTCGTCCAACGGAGAACCCCACCATCTATGTTGCGGGGACCTTCTCGAATCCCAAATGGGAGCCCTTGGAGCTCAGCGCCAAAGCCGTAGAGCACAAGGATGCGGACGGGAACTCTACTAAGACCGAATACCTCTTCTCCCGGGATGTTGAATTGTCCGAGGGTCAATACCAGTATCGGTTCAGGGAGGGTTCTGACGGACCGTGGTTCCACGATGAGGATGTGAAGCATGGTAAGAAGCTTATTCTGTGTCGTGTATTGTTGGATTGGAGCTGACTATTTTCATGGTTGTAGCTGCTGACGACGAAGGCGTCGTCAACAATATCCTCACTGTTGCCTCGAGTTCGCCCGCTGCGGCGCCTGTTGCTGCAGAAGCTAAGGCTATCGAGAAGGAAACCGAAACTCCTCTTGAGAATGGCACCGGCGAGAAGGCCGAGGAGACCGCGAAAGAGTCCGAGGTGCAAACCACAACGACGACCGAGGCGGTGAAGGATGAAGCGCCAAAGGAGACTGATATCCCTGTGGTTGCTGAGAACGACCTCCGCGCTGAGTCAGAACCCACAACACAGGTGGTGAAGCCGGAGCCTGCTTCCGAAACATCCAACCAGAGCGGCATCCAGAAGGACGCCGGATCACAACCTGCCTCTAACGCAGCCGCAGAACCTAAGACCAACGGCACACACTCTACTGAAGAGATTCCTGGATCACAACCTGATGACGATGTTGTGGAGAAGGCGGAGCCAGTGGAAGAGAAGGCAGCTGAGGCCTCTTTGGCAACTACAAAAGACGACGAAGACGACAAGCCTGAAGAGATTCCCAGCACTTCGGTTGAAGTCGAAAAGCCTGAGGCAAAGGAGGTAGAGAAGGCTGAGGATCAGAAGCCGCAAGTTGTTGAAATCGTCCCTGCTGCAGTTGAAGAAAAGGCGGAAGCCGCTAAAGAATTAGACGAGCCAGAGTCTGCCTTCGAAAAGTCTCAGGAAGAAGCTACGCCCGCGCAAACAGTGACGGAGGAAGTGGCTGTTGCGGAATCTATCCCAGTGGAGCCATCTTCAGCCGAACCGACACATGCCGAGACGGCCCCTACAGAGACAGCCACTGATGAGGCGCCACTTGCCGAAGAATCCTCCGAGAAAACAGTGCTTGCGCAGCCTATCGCTGAAGAGAAGGTTCAAACGACCATCGAGGACGAGTCACCCTCTCTGAACAACGTGGAAGAACAGCTAGTACAGGAGTCTGTTGAGGCGAAGAAGGCTACCGATGAGCCAACCGAGGCTTCCGGTGTCGAGCACTCGGCTACCCACGAAGCTGCTGTTGAGGAACCGATCAAGGCTTCCACCCCTGAGGAGATTCCTGAAGATTCTAAGAAGGAAGTTGCTGTAGAGACCCCTGTCGCGGAGTCATCGACGACCGAGAAGGTCGAAGAGACAGCCCAAGACGCTCAGAAGCAACCAGCTGTTGAAGAATCCACGAAGGAACCGATCCACGAGGAACAAGCAACTGAGACAGTTGTTGCCGAGGAACCGGTTAAGGAGACACCGGTCGAGGCAGTTTCTGCAGAGGAGCCTGAGGTGAAATCCGCAGAAAAGCCTGCCGACGCCGAAGAATCTGCCAAAGAGACTGTCGTCGACGAGCCATCTGTTGAGACTGCTTCCACAGAGGATTCAGCACCTACTGTGGAGGTGACGGTCGCCAAGGAGCCCGAGGCGCAGGCAACGGAAGAGCCAGCAGCTGATGAAACCATCAACAAGAAGGTGGAGGCACCAACAGAAGAGCCTACTGCTGCCCAAGAGTCTGCCAAGGAGCCTATCAGCGATGAGCCGGCAACCCAGGTGCCTCAGGCCGAAGAATCAACAAACGGATCCTCTACCGAATTGGCAGCATCAGAAGAAATCACCGGCAAGGTGGCTGAGACACATACGGAGGTGTCTACCGCTACTGAAGCACCCGCCAAGGAACCTGTCAGTGATGAGCCTGCGGTTCAATCTGCCTCAACCGAGGAGACCGAGAAACCAGCTGAGGAGACCACTCCAGTGGTAGCTGCCGAGGAACCTGAGCCACAGGCAGCCGAAGAAGCTGCTGTTGGGGAGACACCCGCCACAAAGCTCGAAGCACCAACCGAAGAGTCCACCACTGCAGCGGAGCCTGCTAAGGACCCAGTCAGCGAGGAAACGCCGAATCAAACTCTTTCTGCCGCGGAACCTTCCAAGGAAGCCACAACTGAAGAGGCTTCAAAAGAAGAAGAGCCTACAACCGAAATAACTTCAGAACCCGCCGTTGTCGAAGCAGATGCCAAAGAATCTGTTCAAGACGAAGTTGCCACCGTCACTCTGGCCGAGGACAAGCCGGTCATTCAGGAGTCTGTTGCTGAAGAGTCTCCTAAGCCCTCGGAAGTGAGCGAACCAGTAGTACCGGAGGTTTCCGCTGAAACTCCTACCACTGAAGAGACTGCCTCCAGCGAAAAGCCTGCGGTAGTGTCAAAGGCTGAAGAGGCAGAGGTTGAGCAACACCCCGTTACCCAGGAACCCGCAAGGGAGTCCCAGGTCGAAGCAATCGAGGAAAAGGCTCCTGAGTCCAAGGACGAAGCTCCTGCTGTTCCCGAGGCACCTGAGGCACCGGCTACTGAGACGGCCATTCCTGGACCTGTCAGCGAATCTCCCGAGGTCGAAGCTGCAGCTAAAGAGCCGGAGACTGTTGAACAGGCCCAGGAACCCATCGCGACCACCGGAGAGCAAGCTAACGAAGATGTGACCATCAACGAGGTCGCCGAAGCTACTGCTACCCAGGAAGCAGTTCCTGCGGAAGTACCTGAGGTGAAGGAAGAAATTGAAGAACCTGTTGCCGTTACTGACAAGTCCGAATCGCCCGCCGACGAGCCTACTCTCTGCAAGGACTGCGGTCCCGAGAAGGCCGCGACTGAGGAGGCCGCTGCCCAGGAGACTGAGACCAGCGAGGAGCCCGTTGAAGAAACCAAGGCCACTGAAGTGACTATTGAAGAGCCAAGTGCAGTGGAGACAACTGAATCCGCCCCGGTTGAGGAGGCCGTTGAGCCAGAGACAGTGAACGAACCCGAAGCAGTGGCACCGGTTGCTGAAGAATTCGTCGAAACCGCGGTCGCTCAGGAGGACGCTACTGAGAAGGAGCTTGCTGAAGAGGCAGCCCCTAAGGATGTGTCAGTACAGGAACCCCCTACTGCTGAGGAAGTTGTGTCTTCGAAGCCCGCAACGGAGGATCCTGGCTCAGAGCCGCAGACCAGCGAAGTGACTGAGCCTGCTGCGCAGGAAGCCACCCCTCAGGCACCTGCTCAAGACGAAGTTGCCGAGGCGGCAGTGACTGAAGAACAGCAGGGAGATGAGTCCATCGACAAGGAATCTCCTGAGGAATCAGTGGCTGAGAGCGTTGTTGAGGAAACTGCACCAGTAGAACCTACAGTGACCGAAGCGGTTGTCTCCACTCCTGCTGTTGATGACCCTGCAAAGAATGAGACTCCCAAAGACGTAGTGTCTGAAGAGCCCTCTCAGGAGTCAACTTCCGAGGAACCAGCTGTCCAGGAGGCGGCCCCTGAAGCGGTTACTCCTACCCCCTCGTCCGATGAGCCTGCAGTGGAGAAGCAAGTCGAAGCCCCTGCTGCGGTCGAGGAAGCCCAAGAAGAAGAGGAACCCGCGGAGCACCCCGCAGTCAGCGAACCACAAGAGGAGCTCGCAGCAGAGCAAGTCCCCACCAAGGATGTTGCTGAGGAGCCAGCCGCAGAAGAAGCGATCAAGCACACAGAGGAGACAGAGGCGGCTAAGCCGGTGGTTGAATCTGCTGCCGAGTCGGCCGTCGAACCCACCACTGAGCCTGTTGAGTCTGTGGAGCCCGTTGCTGAGCCCGTTGCTGAGCCCGTTGCTGAGCCCGT